TAGGGCTAACGATGCTTTAACACAGCGGTTCTCAAACAAGAAATAAACTATTGTCGGCAGTGGCGAGGGGAGACAACTTAAATTTTAACTTTTAAGTATCTACATGCCTTCTTTAATAATTTCACAATTTTTAGCCAACTTTTCTTGATTATAGATGCGACTTCCCTGATATACGATCACGGCACCCCAGGGTGCTTCGGCACCCAGTTTGAGAACCGCTGCTTTAACGCATCGTTAGCCCGACCTAGAGACGTCAGCAGCACGGCCCGTCAGCTAGAGCCGGTCATGGATAAACACTATATAAAACGCTTGAATTGTCATATGTACCTTCTGAGGCACGTGAGATATGGTTCTTGAGACGAATGTTGTGAATACATTGGACTGACATAGTAACTAACAATGATTGACTGGAAATGGCTAACGAAGGCAGAACATTAAATAAAACAACGTGAAGGAGACAAATAAAGTTACTTGATTCTGTGATGAGTAAAGGAGAACTGAAAAATATCGTGACGACTGGAAAGATTACTGGTAGAAGAGACAGACCAAGAGAAATGATGTTGGATTGTTTAAACACAGTGGAATGGAGGAATATTCTCAATGGAATTGATCCAGAACACCAAAGACCGAGATCTGTGAAGATGAATGAACGCCTACGCCAAATGGCAAGTCACTTGATGATTGTGATGACCTACTAATGATGATGACCTTATATTATGCAAACTGTTGGTTTTTCGCCCCTCATGCAGATACACTTTGACTTCGAAGGAAATACCCATAATAGGTCAACTCTTACGACATGCTTGTTACGTGACAGTAGGCTTTTCCTTTTCTCCTACAATGAAGCCCTTAAAATCCAAACAGGGATAGGAATATTTGTTTAAGTGATTTATTTAAAGACAGAAATGAAATAATTCAGGGGACATTATCAGAAAAGACCACATATGAAAACCATACTCATTGAGAAAACTGTGGCCAAGGCGACTGAAGCAAACTGTTAACTGACTGACTGACTTTCTACCCCATTAGGACATCACACAAGCGATAAACACCCGATGACACAAAGTGCCACCATGTGGATGAGGATCACCGTGGAGAGGTCCCAGAAACCGCTTTCAGACAATTGACCACAATGATGGCCTGCCTATATTGCGGCCCCTGGCAATAGCCAGAGTGGGGCTTCAAATAAAAAAAAATTTACTTCCTAAAAAGGACGTAAACAATAATTTTACGGTAACTGTTAACTGTTATTAGCGTCCCATTATAGGGCGTTGCAGAACCAGTCCCAGCAATTGAGATTTCACCAAACAATTTTACGTTTTTTTTTTTTTTGTACTCTAAAGCACCCAAGAAATTAACGCAACGCGGTCTGCTATAATATCGCCCGCAGCGCTTGGAATTACCAAACGTGCTCAAAATACGTGATCCGTTTTCTAAACCGCATTTTTCACTTCACATTTAACGTATGTGTCATTCTCGAAATGTCCCCCGCCAAGTTGGGTTTTTAGCGGAGCAAAAAGTTGGAAATCGCTAGGGGCTGTTTCGGCTCTGTAAGGTGGATGTTCCAGAAGTTCACGCTCTAGATGGTTAATTTTCTACTGAGTTAACCGAGCCATTATTTTTTTCCAATATCCATAAACCATGAGTTCTTAACCCTTTGGCTCAGTACTATAGAAATCGCAACCCTTTGGCCTTGATTCCATGATATATGCCGTAAATCTAGGAGAAATGTGGCTTTTCTGCCTACCCCTGGGCGTGAACCCGGACCACAAGGAGTTCGTCACTCGGTCGTGGCTAAGTCAGGTTTAGCCAACTATGCCAGCGAGCCGGGCTAACCGAGCCATATGTGGTCTGGCATTGTCATGAATTAGCAGTACTCCTCTAGTCTGTAGGCCTGGACGTTTTCTTCGAACTGAATCATGAAGCAACGACACAAGTTTACAGTATAAATCAGCATTTACATTGTAATTTTTTTTAATATACTTGTAAAAAAGCACTCCTAGACACTCATAGTAAACTGACAGCATAACTTTCCCTGCTGATGGCGTAACCTTGAATTTGTGAGCAGGAGGCAAAGAATGATGTTTCCATTAGGCTGAAGCACGCTCTGATTCGGGCTAGTAGTGATGCACACATGATTTGCCCCCAGTAATAATCCTGTTCAGCATGTCTTCCTCTTCATCTGCGTATCGAAAGAGGCAAGGACATGCCTAATTGGTTCATTTTGTCTTGGTTTGCCAATTATCTGGGTACTTACCTTGAGCACGTTCTTTAATTTCAATCGATCATGCATTATGTTGTGTGCTGAACCATGTGAGCACCCTATTGCAGCTGCTACAGAGTCAACCGTTACTTGCCTCTCATCATCTCCACGCGCTGCAAGGATGCATCTGTTGCAGTCACAACCGGACGACCAGATCGGACTTCATCAACAATTTAGGGCGTCCTTGAGAAAATACTTACCCATCTATCCACCTCTTACGGTATAAACTTTTGTCAGCATTAATAGGAAGCATTTCCTTCGGAAAATTCTTTGCCGGCTGCCTCTTTATTAGCATCCGGGACACTCCCATAAGCGTCCCGTTCCCATCTTTAGCGGCTAACGAAAAGTAAATGTCTGATTGTATATCTGTCTCGCCTTCCCCTCGAGTGCTGAGCGTCGGTCAGATCCTCTAGTAAGTTATGGCATGCTTCTAAATATTGAAACTGGTGTACTGCCCACCAAGGGTCTTGCATAGTTTGGTAAGTTCCAGATCAATGGGATATAATAAAATTTATGTCCAGGAAATCCAGGTTTGAGGGGTAACGAGCAGGCTGATAGATTGGCTGCTGCCTTTCCTCTGGGCGTTGACCTACTATATGATAAAGCCGATGCAATNTGAACCCGACCACAAGGAGTTCGCACTCGTCGTTGCTAGTCAGGTTTAGCCAACTACGCCAGCGAGCCGGGCTAACCGAGCCATATGTGGTCTGGCTTTGTCATGAAGAAGCAGTACTCCTCTAGTCAGTAGGCCTGGACGTTTTCTTCGAACTGCATCATGAAGCATCGACACAAGTTTACAGTATAAATCATCATTTACATTGTAATTGTTTTTAATATACTTGTAAAAGGCACTCCTAGACAATCATAGTAAACTGACAGCATAACCTTCTCTGCTGATGGCGCAACCTTGAATTTGTGAGCACGAGGCAAAGAATGATGTTTCGATTAGGCTGAAGCACGTTCTGATTCGGGCTAGTAGTGATGCACACATGATTTGCCCCCAGTAATAATCCTGTTCAGCATGTCTTCCTCTTCATCTGCGTATCGAAAGAGTTGCTGCAAGGACATGCCTAATTGGTTCATTTTGTCTTGGTTTGCCAATTATCTGGGTACTCAATCGATCATGCATTATGTTGTGTGCTGAACTATTTAAGCACCCTATTGCAGCTGCTACAGAGTCAACCATTACTTGCCTGTCACCTCTTATCATCTCCACCCGCTGCAAGGATGCATCTGTTGCAGTCACAACCGGACGACCAGATCGGACTTCATCAACAATTTATGGCGTCCTTGAGAAAATATTTACCCATCTATGTACCGCTTACGGGATAAACTTTTGCCAGCATAAATAGGAAGCATTTCCTTAGGAAAATTCTTTGCCGGCTGCCTCTTTTATCGCATCCGGGACACTCCCATAAGCGCCCCGTTGCCATCTTTAGCGGCAAACGAAAAGTAAATGTCTGATTGTATATCTGTCTCGCCTTCCCCTCGAGTGCTAAGCGTCGGTCACATCCTCTAGTAAGTTATGTCATGCTTCTAAAAATTGAAGCTGGTGTTCTGCCCGCCAAGGATCTTGCATAATTTGGTAAGTTCCAGATCAATGGGATATAATAAAATGTATGTCCAGGAAATCCACGTTTGAGAGGTAACGAGCAGGCTGATAGATTGGCTGCTGCCTTTCCTCTGGGCGTTGACCTACTATATGATAACGCCGATGCGATCAAATGGGCACGAGAAAGAACATACACTGAAAGACTGGGTAAACGGTGTGTGTGTGGGGGGGGGGGGGGGGGGAGTTAATTACAGATTCTGGAAGATACTCAATACTGAAGGGCAAGGAAAGGCGGACTTTTAAACAGGTTGTAACTGCTACTATTAGCATGTCACCTCTTCGTTGGTTACTGAAGACGAGGACGGAGCACGTGTGGGAATGTCCTGAGTGCAGTCATGTCAATTCTTGATTGATTGATTGATTGATTGATTCACTCCTTCCTTGAAGTAGTCAGGATCGAAATACACCGAACAGACGAATGCTACGACTGATCAAAGCTTTAACAATAAAAATGAACAACAACACCTTATGCAAACAGAAGGAGCTCATTGTAAATTTGAAGTTACCCTTTAAGTCATGTGACTACTGTTAACTTCCGACGATTAGACGAACACTGTAATAAAATAGAGCGTGCGATGTATATTTCAATGGAATTAATTATGTTTGTGTGAATTTACCTGACGAGAGTCCTGACAAAACATACAAGGCAATAAACTGCGCATTGAATTGCTTGTGTTCTCATTTTGTTAATTATTCCTGAAAAATATTGTTTTCGTACATAGTAAATTCCAAGCGATACATTTTGCAATGTGCTCCTTTTGTTTGAATTTGTTCATCATCAATCACCAAGTCATTTACAAAACATCGCTCTCTTCACGGCACGCCAAAAAGTATCCCTTTCTTATCCAGCTCTCCAACCCTATGTGCTTTCATATCCAATGCGTCTTCAATGTCCTGTATTCATCTTTGCGAAGGTTGACCCCTGTCTCGCCTTCAACAAACTGCTCCCTCCAACACCATCTTTTCCAAACCCCCATGACGTTTAATGTGGCCAAAATACATCAACTTTCGAGACAGAATGCTGTTTATGAGCCAGTTTGTTAAGCTCTTTGATTGATGAATTGATATATGTAACTATTGTCCTCACATTACTACATTATATGAATGTTATTACACAGAAAAGCCATGTCAAGCCTACAGGGGTACAGATGCCAGGTCATCTCTCTGCTTCTGGTCTTCGCCATTTGCTGCTTGCTAACAGATTTCGTAACCCCCAGCTCCGTGCCTGTTGCCAAGCGAGAGACACGACGCTATCCTAGAGCCAAATATCGGGTTGGCTATATGTTTGGCAAGAGATCCTCATCGTCGGAAACACCATCGTCGTCACTGTTGTTTGATGCTATTTCCAGGTGAGTGCTGATGTCTTGTTACCAGCATTTGTGTTTCTGAGACTGAAATACCTTTGCCCTATTAAACACAACAATTGCTTAAAAAGAATAGTAATTGAGGACACGGTGCTGAATAAGAGAGGCAGGGGCCGACCAGTACGAAAGTGGGCACAAGAAAAAAAGAGACATCTTAGACAGGAGAGTGCTTGAGGGGGACAGATCTTTTCAAGAAAGTTTTTGTTTTTGTTTCCTCAAAATGGTTGTGATAGGTATGCGTGTAACGAACTCTTACACGATCATTAACCGGGGGGGGGGGGGGGGAGGGGGGGGGGGGTGGGGGGAATCGTAGCTTTTTAACCAGCATGCTACATAACAATGCTTACAATACTATTTACCATGAAAAATAAAAAATACCAACATCTTGCAAGATTTGAGTATCGATATGAAGTCCTGCAAAATATGAGTATCGATATGAAGTCCTGCATGATTTGAGTATCGATATTAAGTGGCTCATAAACAGCTGAGTTTTCGTGGCCATATTAAATGTCATAGTGTCATGGAGGGAGCCAGGATGCAACGCACGGCTTCCGGAAAAAGATAACAGAGGCAAACCTTCACAAAGTCGGATACAGGTAATTGAAGATGCTTTGGCTATGAAAGCACATAGGGCTTTAGAAATGGCTAAAGAAAGAGAGACTTTCTCGCGTGCCGTGACGAGGGCGACGTTGTGTAAGAGACTTTACTTCTGTTCAAAAGCTCCGATTGTGTTTCACTTAAATGATTTAGTAAGAGTCTATGACTCGCATACATAGGTTGCCACGGGAGGGTTGCACCATCTCAAAACTGTCATTTTAAGTCACTTGCAGGTGTTGACCATATCTCAATCCGTTTTTTTAATTTCTGAATGGATAGTGTAATGCTAACCACATCAGCCATCTTGTGCCGATTGGTCTATAAAATATAGGTCTAGCCCTATATGCCCTATAGCCTAAAGGCATGGAAAAGGGTCCTTTACTTTAACTTTATTCATGCTCAAAATTACATATAAGTTATCATGTCTAAATTTACGTATGTATGTACGTATGTCTGTCTCCAACCCCACAGGACAGCAGAACTAGCAACCAACACCCGGTGACACAAGTGCCACCATTCGGATGAGGATCACCCGGGCACAAGTCCCAAATACCCGTTCAACCGTTGGGTTATGTTAGGGACAGTGACTACAGCCAGGGTGGGGCTATGAAGTAACGAAAAATTGAGTCCCATGCTAGGACAGGTATTTGTTTTAAATATTCAGATAATCTTCTTCTTTTTCTCGTACACCAGCTGTAAATTCTGGCGGAAATTTCTGGTTGTTCATCCACTTTTGGACTGTAGTCCTGTTCCGAAATCTGAGTGTTGCGTGTGCATCCGTTTTACAGATCTCACTCATTTGTATGAAGACTGTTGGTTCTTTCCTGTCCGGCAGATGCACCCGGACTTCGAAGGAGGCTCCCAATTTGTCGACTCCTACGACATGCTGCTGGGTAGGCAGTGGGTCACTTCATGTTTTCTCTAAAATAGAACCCCGGAACGCACACGGGAAAACATAGTATCTATCATTCATTCAGTCATTAAATGCAGTCTCTCTGTTATTTACCCAGTGCTGCCAATCGTTTCTCTCTACAGAAACACGATGACAAAGGCTCAGCTGGAGAATTTCATTCTGAGAAATCCCGAGGTTCTGAGTGAAATATCAACAATACTGGACAAAAATGGTAAATAGTCTTCTTCTGAAGACTTAGCTGTGTGGTTTTTGTGTGGTTCTATGGCGGAGGGCAGAGGTTCTCAAACTGGGTGCCAAGGCACCCTCGGGTGCCGCCAGCGTATGTCAAGGGTGCTACGGCATTGATCAAGAAAAGTCGGCTAAACATTGTGAAATTTTTAAAAAAGGGATGCAAATACTGAGGAGTTTAAATTTTGGTTTTTTCCCCTCGCCGCTGTCAAATAGAGTGTATCGTTTGTTTCACACTCAGTCGTATTTCATAGTGAATAAAATGCCAACCGCGACTGATTCTCTAACTGAATTTGATAAGATGCAGTCCGTAAGTAAAGTTATGGTTACATTGTATTTGCAGACAGCTGCGAGCCGAAGCCATCCAAACTGGTCCGCCTCAGTTCGCGGAAAGGCAATTGACGATCAAAATAAAATTCTACGAAAACTCAGAAAATATTATCCTAGCTACTTTCTTTGTTTGGCTTTGTTTCGTTTGGGGACGAACAGGCACCGGAAGGGCAATGCGTTAACTGTCATAGAAGTTATGCTAACGGCTGTTTGGTTCTGTCTAAAGTATAGAGACATCTGCAATGCAATCATTCGGATTCTGTGCATAAAGGATAAGACATCTTCAAACACCGCGCTTTGTCTCTTTAGGCAGAGTCATCCATGATAGACTTAATTTCCAAAAATGAAAATGAAAAGGATATAACGCAAAATTCATCCAAGCAGTTTCAATCATCGTATTAACGACAATTGAACATTAAAATTGAACTATTGTTTTCCTTATTCCCTAAGTATTCAACTGCTTTAATTAAGGTATGTGTGCCGCCGACTCGTAATCCAACGTACCGCGATCGAAACCCACTGCGGCTGCGTGGATTTTTATCGTGGTATGGGACGTCGCAGGTCGACCCAGCCTAAAATGGGTACTAGGACGGGCTGTCCTGGGAAAGTAAAGACAGCCGGCGTAATGCTGACCACATTACCCACAGAGTGCTGATGGTCTGTAAAAATATGGGACGCTCTGCCCGTATGCCCGATACGCCGAAAGGCGTGGAAGGGATCTTTACTTTACTTACTTATATATATATATATATATATATATAGATATATATAGGAGTGGGCTGTTTTACTAATGTGCTGACTATCCATTGTTTACTTCAGTACATACACATTTGGTGTTATTATTTTCTGCTGTTTAGTATTATTCATGCTATTTAGTTATGTAGCCGTATGGCAACAGTTATTGATTTTAGTTGTTTTTTTTTAACTTGTGAATAAATCTGGTCGCTGAGCATAAAAGACCAGGGTATCCGAAAACGAGCTCATCTTTAGCTTTTCGGCCTGAACCCTCAATCGCTTGAGTGGCAGGAGACCTCGCGCAGCCAGCGGCTGCTGCATGATACATGTACTGAGCAGAAAGTGTTCAGGCGACTGCGTAGGAATGGACGGTTAGTTTGGCTCGTTGATGGTGGTCGTGGTGCATGTTTACATCTTTGCCCCGAATTTTCTCTAGTAGCTAAAGGTTGTGGGCAGATAGTAAGGACTTTTATTTAGTGATGTCTAATTTTACTTGTACCGCTGATTAGACTTTATAAAACACATTTCCTGCCTGGGTAAAACACTGTGGTTTTACCACCGCCTAAATGAATTTGTGTGTGTGTGTTTGTTTTTTTTTTACTTTCTTGTTATTGAGGTAGCTTAAGTTTGGGTTTTAGCTTCCACTCGGCACGTGACACTATTTGTTAGAGCTCTTGTAGTTTCGAAGTCGCGATAGGTTCAAGGAGTAGATTTCCATATTATCCCACTTTATCTTCTCTCCTCTCTTTAATACAAAGTTCCCCTTTAGCTTTGTTACTAGTACAGTTGTATTATTTTTTTATTATGTTATATTTAGGAAGCTCTGTTTATGACTTATAACCTAATTTGTCTAAGACGTAATGCAAAGAATGTACAGCATTGTGGTTCAGAAAATAGTCAAATAGTTTTTACAATGCAGTCTTCCACTTTTACCTGGGTTAGATTCCTGTAAGATGATGAAGAAAACTGGGTATAGCATATCTTTACCAGTTCAATCACTGGATGAGATGTAGGCATTGTTACGTCACCCGCTTTTGCTTCGCACTTAATCTCATATTCTACTCCACTCCTTTTTATACATTCGCCCTTATAAAGGGCTATTGGCAAGCTGACTTGTGGTTTTAGGCTAGGTTGCGAAATTTATAATTTTCAGTCCACCACATCCGATTTTTAGCAAACCCTTACTCTGCTGTCTTGTACAGTATGTTTGTTTACAGCAGGCAATGCGTCATTCTCAACCGTGCCCTCAAATGTACCCGGAACTCAAATGGGTGAATTTCCTGTATCCCTTTCTAAACATTACGTTTTGCTATTTCCGGGTAACGTTTTCAAGTCGGCATTCTAGATATAATGTTTCTTTATGTCGTATCCAGAGAGCTAGACATAGACAAGCAAATGTTAAATTTTTGTTATAGTGAGGTATGTAGTTTCATGCTAACCTTCCCCAGAAGCCTCTTTTGACGTGAGTGAAAGTAACTGCTAATTCGATTTATTTATCTATTTTTTTATTTATTTATGTATTTATTTATTTATTTTAGATTTTCTTTTACCTTTTGTCGTGTTTCGTTTGTAATATTTACTAGTCATGTTACTGGTACCATATGTTTTCTAGATGTTAAGTCTTATGTATTTGTAAAAACTAACTCAAGGGAATCATTTTTCTTTTCGCTGTGTAATGTTACTTTTTTCCCCGTACATTTTCAGATGACGACTACATTTCCTTATCTGATCTTCTGTGATGTCCCGTTCCTCCTCCGTAGACAACGTTTGTCCAATCAAATCTTCAGCTGCTGGTTTTGAGTGAACAGTCATCTAGATTCAATTTCTAATAGAAATGCCTCGAATTATCATCTTCACTCAACAGGTCCTTCATAGAATGTCAATTTTTCACGGCACGCCGTAATACTCATTCTCCAGCCAATAGTCAATCCTTATGTGGTTACCAATGAAACACTTGAAAAAAAAGCATTACATTCTACGATATTTTGTTTTCTAAAAATGGTTTACATTTCCTTCAATAAACTTTCACTTCAGCCCCGGCAACCTTGTCCATACAGTTTGTGTGTTCTCATGTGTGTTTGTAAACAGTAAAGCAGAGAGAGAACCCCAACATCGTTACTGACGCAGCAAGCACATATTATGCTGCACATGCAATTGTATAGACCACTTAGTTGGCATCGCAGGTCGACCCACCCTAAAGTAGGTAGCAGGATGTATATCCTGGGGAGGGTAAAGACGGCCGGCGTAATGCTGACCACATTACCCACCTTGTGACACTTGATCTGTAACAATAAAGGTGCTCTTCCCATATGCCCGATGCGTCTGAGGCGTGAAAATGGATCTTTACTTAACTAATACTCTGATGATGTACTGATCAACATCGGGCCGGCAACCTGTAGTTCCTAGGAGTTTTCCTGTAGCCCGTGTTAGAATGGGTCCATCTGGGATCCAAAGACATGTATAATAAAATGTCAGCTTCACAGCTTGCGAATCCAAAAACGTTGAACCGACTTGGGATGTTCTAGCTACTGCGCTACCGTCACTGGTCATGACTTAAATTAGTAATATTTCAGACACGACACCGCATTTACACACAGACACACACACACACGCACACACAAAAACACAAATTTTTATATATATATATATATATCATCGTTTAGCAAGTCCTTTGCAGAACGTCGCTCTCATCATGGTCTGCTTGAAAGAAACTAGGTCTCTCGCCAGCTCTCCTGCCTCGTGTACTTTCATACTCAAGGAGTCACTTATATTCTGTACCCATCTTCGTGTTGGTCGGTCCTGACCCTTCTTCATGGTACCATGCCTTTTGCTATTTTTTTTTTCATTCGAAACCGCCATTTCACTTAATATGACTAAAATATTTCAGATTCCCAAACTAGATTCTGTTTATTAGCCAATCTTCTTTTGATGTTCAGATCTTTCAAAATGTCAGTATTACATAATTTCTTCGTTCATTGTATTCTGAGAATACTACTGGAGAATTTCAGCTGAAAATCATAATTTTTTTTTTTTTTTTAAATTAAGGACTGCAAGATAGTCGACGACGAACATCCGTATATTGTTACAGGGAAGATGCTTGCTCTTAAAATTATAACTTTCGTGTCCTTGTTGGTGCTTAACCTTATGCTTTTAATGTTGTTATGATTTAGTAATCTCAGAGTGTCAGATTTTCAAATAATAGCCATAAGAGGAAATACTGAACTCAGCGAGCCTAAATTTAAGTAACTTTAACTGTGTTCATATTTATTTATGTAAATATGATTATGCATACAAAGAACGCCTAGCAACAGGTTTCCTGTACTTGTAATACCTAATCTTTCTGGGGGAAAAAAATGAGTTCATCACTTGTTGTAGTACTTCACACGTGGTAACACACAGAGCATCTCAAAAAGCAGGTTTCCAGCTACAAGGGCAGTTGTCCCAAACGGATCATATGGCGGCGAGACCTAGAGAGTTTTTAAAAAAAAAACGACAGTTGCTGAACGATATACAACTTCTCTTCGACTTACGCCTTAGACACCTTCGATATCTGTAGTTATGACCACAATGAATACAAAATTAGTAATTAACAAAAATAACTGCACTGGCATAGTGGTAAAAAAGTTCCCGGGACCGAAACAGTAAATACAGTAGTGTATTTTCATTTTATCTTCTATTATTATATGTTCGTAGATTTATTTTTTCGTAAAAAAAAAAGTGGGAGGGGGGGGGGGGGGGGGGGACATATTCGACTTACGAACAGTCCGACACACAACCTCATTGTTGGAAAAAGCACAGTCGTAAGTCGAAGAGACTGTGGAAGCGGTTTTCAGTTTCCTATGTGAGTTTCAGGGCCAAATTTTAAGGACGAGAGAATCGAACCCATTCCTCCTAACAGTTGCAGAAGGACGACAAATTAGGAGTTTGCTGAATTGAGATGAGTTTTGCCGAAAGGCGTACATACCTGTTTGTAAACCATAACCCACTGTGACAATCGGCCATTTAAGGGCAATTATAAAGAAAAAAGGATAACCATCCATCTCTCCATCTGTGTCTCTCTTTCTTTCCATGTGGGTGTGTGTGTGTGTGTGTGCGTTTTTTTTTTTTTTTAGGGGTCTAGTTTACAAATGTAGGCAAGAGAAAAGATCGAATTCCCCGCCATGAGACACACTGGATATGTAGTGCTGGGTCCTAATTTTGTTCAGGTGCCCAGTGTCTGGCAAGATATATATTAAATATTTGGACGAGCGCCTTGACGTCGGATAAATTTTCTCCGTGGTAGTTTTTATACATGTCGATTAGTTTGAAGATGTGAATGAAAAACACGCCTTAATTAAAAATGTGTTTTGGTCACATGACTACCAGGAGGAGAGTCAAACAATCCAACACCCCTAGTAGCGATGCCGACAGTCTAGCTAGAGGTAAATATACGTCCGTACGTTTCAGTTTTTCATCTCTCTCACCCATCCCATCTGTCTCTCTCTCTCTCTCTCTCTCTCTCTCTCTCTCTCTCTCTCTCTCTCTCTCTTTCTAAATATATATATATATATATATATATATATATATATATATATATATATATATGTATATATATATGTGTGTGTGTGTGTCTGTGTGTGTGTGTGTGTGTGTGTGTTGTCGAAAAAAGCAACTATAATTGTCCAATGGGGCGGTTTTATTAGTTAACGGGAAAGCCCGTACACCTAAAAAAATATCGACGACCCAGATGCAAATGAACTACCAGTTGATTGGTTGAACGGAAATGTGTTTCTTGTGTGCAGTTTAAAGATTCACTCATTAAATGACACAGATTTTGAATGTCAAAATAATGACACAATTATATTCCTTACAGTAGCTATATTTTTTGTGGGTGTAGTTATTTCAAAAAGTTGTGTGTGTGTATATATATATATATATATATATATATATATATATATATATATATATATATATATATATGCGTGTGTGTATATATACGGATACTAAGTAATATCTTGGGAAGTATATGCCGTACTGATACCTACACCAACCTGCGACACCTACGTCACCGACATAATGATAACAGGGGCACAAACAACATATGTTAACAACAATAATAAATACACCTAAATATCAGTCCATCTACATATCGCAGCCTAGCTACAGCTGAAAAAATGAGGTCCCGTCAACTAATCCTGAGGCACTACACCTGCTCTCTTTGCCACAATAATCTAACTGTATCATATGTGGTGACCCCGTGATGATCACTAAATCTCCTCAGTTAACACATCAACTGGACACCTAAGCCTCACAATTTCCTATTTTTCTTTCTTAAAAAAGTGAATCCAAGTTTAGCATCTTATGTCCACATCCCCCACCCCATTTTATACATAAGTGACACAACGCGGCAGGCAACATATGGCATTGGAGGCTATTGTAGACATTGCATGTCATTATAGAGATTGCAGGCCATTACAGACAGCACCAGCCATTGGAGGCTATTGCAGACATTAAAGGTCACTGTAGAGATTGCAGGCCATTACAGACAGCACCAGACATTGGAGGCAATTGCAGACATTAAAGGTCATTGTAGAGATTGCAGGCCATTACAGACAGCACCAGACATTGGAGGCTATTGTAGACATTGCATGTCATTGTAGAGATTGCAGGCCATTACAGACAGCACCAGACATTGGAGGCTATTGCAGACATTAAAGGTCATTGTAGAGATTGCAGGCCATTACAGACAGCACCAGGCACTAGAGGCTACTGCAGACATTAAAGGTCATTGTAGAGATTGCAGGCCACTGCAGTCATGGCATTCGACCTAATATTCCCCCATAGTACTACTGGCGTGATTTTCACATTATCACCCACTCAGCACCAACTGGTATTTCAATATATACCACTAGCATCATATGCCGGCTAAACAACTGTCCAGAAATGAACATTTATTTTCACTTACGTATAACAGGAGTGTATTGTCCATTATTTACTACTCAATGATATAAAAAAAATAGTTTCAGACCACCTTCAATTTGTTGGTCTTTCCAAATAAGCTGGTCTTTTTAAAAGGCGAAAACTCAGCCAAAAAATTGTTTCTGCATTCTGGAGCATGCCTAAACAATGTTTATTAAACTGACAATAAATCGAATCTGAATTACGTCTGCGTGCCTCCAAAAGCAGTCAAATCTACGTGGGGTAAATGGAATTATTAGTAAGTAAAAGTAGAGGTTCCTTTTACATGCCTTTGGGTATATTAGACAAATAGGGCTAGAACTCGGCACTTGCCGACCGCGTTCACTTCCCAGGATTGCAGCTGGTACTCACTCAAGGCTGGGTCGACCTGGGAGTCAAATCATTTTTTAGAAAAGCTCGGTTCCATCACGACTTGAGCCTACAACCTTCCGATCTGCAGGCGAGCTTCTAGTCACTACACCTCGGCGACTGCCAATGGGAAAAAACGCATATATGGACGTACACCTTGTAGAAAAGCCTGGTAATGACATTGGTAAAACGTTCTTTTCACGTGCAAGTCGTGACTTTGGTCAATACACGTCCCCCACTTTTGGGAAGGAATGAAAAATAGGTAGGCTTATAACATTAACATTGGCTCGATGAAGACGCTTGACCACTGTTGGCAAATGAGGTGCAATAGAAATTAGAGGGTTGTGAGAAAAGCTGCTAGAAGATTTGGACTTTCCCACTCTGTCATACAAACTCTGCGGAATGTTATCAGGCAAGCAGCAGTGCCGCAGCGCAGAACAACGCAGGACAGGAGGCTCAAGGTCTATCGCAACTGAACATCGAAATGGGCTTTTCAATATTCTTAAGCATAATATATCGAAATTGTGGCGCCACCTACCTCGACCAGGTCAGCACCGATAACATTCAGGCCCCGACAACCACGAAGAATCTCTAGTCCTTGAATGATTGTCAATCCAGCAATCTCTGGCGTTCCTGTCGTAAAGTTTACGTTAAAATTGGGTAATGATGATAAAAATAAAGATGTAAAGATGATAGTGATGATAAGGATGATGAAAACTGTTAATTAAAATAAATCCTATCCATAAATAATATAATATAATATAATATAATATAATATAATATAATATAATATAATATAATATAATATAATATAATATAATATAATATAATATAATATAATATAATATAATATAATATAATATAATATAATATAATATAATATAATATAATATACGTGTTTTTCTTTTCTTAAATTTTCTCTTTTCCTCCCTGACGCCTTTTGTAAGTGATTTCCTCATCTTCGATAAGAAAGTCAAAGATAAACAGAATCACACGACAGTGTTCCTGTCCTGGTTTTACCTACAAAGTCAAACCATCCAGAAGTTTTTGTTCCTGTCCTGGTTTTACCTACAAAGTCAAACCATCCAGAAGTTTTTGTTCCTGTCCTGGTTTTACCTACAAAGTCAAACCATCCAGAAGTTTTTGTTCCTGTCCTGGTTTTACCTACAAAGTCAAACCATCCAGAAGTTTTTGTTCCTGTCCTGGTTTTACCTACAAAGTCAAACCATCCAGAAGTTTTTGTTGCTGGTATTTCCAAGATGCTTGCCAGCCTTTAAACAATCTTTAAGATATTAAGACTGCGCGCTAAACTCAACTTTTGCTGACTAAAGATTGCTGAACAGGATTACATTAAATTATCTCGAAAAAAAAAAAAAAAAAAAAAACCGATCGACTCTCATTCAACAAAGACATATGTACTGCTTCAAGATCGCCATCATGTCTTTTCCGCGTTCTGGTCGTCGTCGTCTTCTTCTTTATTATTCTTCTTCCCCTTCTTTTTCGTCGTCTTCTTCTTCTTCTTCTTCTGTTTCTTCTTTTCTTACTACCTATCTCCTGTTTTTTCTTCTTCTTTTTCTTTTTTTTTTTTCATTTTTCTTCTTTTTCTTTCTTTCTTTCTTTCCTTCTTTCTTTCTTTCTTCCTTACTTTCTTTCTTTCTTTCTTATTTTCTTTCTTTTTTTCTTTCTTTATTTTTTTCTTTTTTTCCTGCCGTATAGGATATTACCCGGTTGAATAAAGTCGACCAGTCAATAGTTTGCCATTCTTTCTTAACGGTCAGCTCTCGGTACCACTATCGAAGCCAAAGCAAGACAAATCGTCCACAGTTGGGATCAAACCCGGCACCCAAATATTACTAATAGCGTTTGAAACGCCTAAGCCACAGACGCATTTGGTGAAGACATGACACAGCAGTACTTCACCCCGACTAGCCGATACTCTCTGCAGAATTTGTTGCAAATTGTAGATGCTGCACACTTGCTAACACACATTTTATCCAGACACAGCAGTTTAGTTGTGTGTCCACTGACATGCTACATCAGTAGTGGGTATGTGTGGTTACGCGTCCATGTGTGTGTGTGTGTGTGTGTGTGTGTGTGTGTGTGTTTTGCTTTGAGGTTTAGCTATCCTAGTGTTAGCGGGATCAGGGTTTGCTACTAGTACTGCTCATAATGTTCATGAAAAGATAATAATGTTAAAGTCACCTACCAGTTCCTGGTGCCACAGAAGGATCAAGCCCATCTATGTCGAAGCTGATGTATACGGGCTTCTCTCCTATTGCTTTCCTTACTTCCTCCATCAGTGGGACAAGAGACTTGTTCCAACAATCGTTAGCAGGCACAACCCTCACACCCTAGAGATTACAGCTGAGAAATAAATCTACCCGCACACCAAAGAAATTACAGCTGAGAAATGAATCTACCATCACACCCTAGAGATTAAAGTTGAGAAATAAATCTACCCTCACACCCTAGAGATTAAAACTGAGAAATTAATCTACCATCACACCCTAGAGATGAAAGGTGAGAAATAAATCTACCCTCACACCCTAGGGATTTCAGCTGAGAAATGAATCTACCATCACACCCTAGAGATCTAAGTTGAGAAATAAATCTACCCTCACACCCTAGAGATTACAGCTGAGAAATAAATATACCCTCACACCCTACAGATTACAGCTGAGAAATAAATCTACCCTCACACCCTAGAGATGAAAGTTGAGAAATGAATCTACCCTCACACCCTAGAGATTACAGCTGAGAAATAAATCTACCCTCACACCCTAGAGATTACAGCTGAGAAATAAATCTACCCTCACACCCTAGAGATGAAAGTTGAGAAATGAATCTACCCTCACACCCTAGAGATTAAAGTTGAGAAATAAATCTACCCTCACACCATAGAGATTAAAGGTGAGAAATAAATCTACCCTCACACCCTAGAGATTACAGCTGAGAAATAAATCTACCTCACACCCTAGAAATTAAAGTTGAGAAATAAATCTACCCTCACACCCTAGAGATTAAAATTGAGAAATAAATCTACCATCACACCCTAGAGATTACAGCTGAGAAATAAATCTACCCTCACACCCTAGGGATTACAGCTGAGAAATGAATCTACCATCACACACTAGAGATTAAAGTTAAGAAAT